TTATGCATGGCGAAAGATACATGCACAAGGATCTGAAGCCTCAGAACATAATGATGGTCGACAAAGGTTCCTCGTCGATCAAGCTTATCGACTTTGGTCTTGCGGAACACTTTGAGCCAGACGAGAAGGTGTCGCGGGTCTTCGGCGGGACGCTCCTATACATCGCGCCAGAGGGTTTCGGACGAGGGCTCGAGATGAAGAGCGACGTCTGGAGTGCCGGCGTCATCCTGTACAACTTGATCACCGGCGATTACCCCTTCATGGCAGAGTGGCCCCCGCCGCCCGGCAAGGACACGGCCTGGTGGGAGAGCGGCACCCGCGCAGCCATACAGACCGAGGATCCTCGCGACCACCCGAACTTGTCCAACGGCTACGTGTCCAAGGACTGCGTGGACATGCTGTGTGAGATGTTGAGCAAGGACCCGGGCAGACGCCCGGACGCGGCGAGGTGTTTGGAGCATCGTTGGTTCAAGAGGTTCGACAGGGAGCCCCCACCTTTGTCCGTGGGCATATTGCAGTGCTTGGATGCGTTCGCGGGGCAGCCCGAGCTGAAGAAAGCCGTCTTCCTGCTGATATGGAAGACCGAAAAGATACAAAACATAAGCTTCCGGAGGTCCGCGCGGATTTGGGGGTTCGGGGCTGGACCCCCCCCATCTCTGACACCCTAGGCAGCACGCAGAGCGACCCAGGAGAGGAGCCACCCAGGGGTAGTCATGGTCGGCGGCCTGCCCAGGGAGGAAGTGAGAGGGGGCGGGCCTTTGCAGAAGGCGGGGCTTCTCAGAAGCCCCCGCGCCTTCTGCGAAGTTCTGTTCCGCCTGGGGCGACCGCTTAGAAAACTTCTCAGAAGGCGGGGGGCCTTGTGCGGACGTCCAGAAGTCTACGGTTTTTTAAAGCTGTTTTTGCGGTCTTCCCCGATCGCGAACCAGTGCTCCGTGCCGGCCCTGGAGGACCTCCGCGCCATCTTCACCCACTTCGACACCCAGAACCGAGGCCCCTGGACTTTTTTGTTAGAGCCCCGAATCATCAGGGGTAACTCGGCTCAGGGCTAACTCGGGTTCGTGTTTCGGGATTCCGAGCCCGAGTTGCACCAGGCCCGAGTTTCCCCAGACAACTCGGGCGCCCACAGCCCCAAATCTCAGGGGTAACCGGGTCAGGGCTGACTCGGGGTCTTTTTGCGGTACAAGAGGCCCTGGAGGAGGAGGAGGAGGAGGAGGAGGAGGAGGAGGAGGAGGAGGAGGAGGACGGGTCGCCTAAGCCCTTCGGAGAAACCCTCCACCCCTGGTCTGTTGGCCAGGCCCTCAGGGCCAGGGGGCCCAGTAACACCCAAGAAAGCCGACCCTCTAGAGGCCAAGCAGCGACCGAGGAGATCCAGCTGGCCAGTTCGAGGTCGTGTTGATCACCTCCAGAGGCTCATCGAAGCACTCCGATGTTGAAGGATATCGAAAAGGAGGAGGCGGAGGAGGAGGCGGAGGAGGAGGAGGAGGACGAGGACGAGGAGGAGGTCGAGGAAGAGGGGCGATGGTGGGCAGATCCGTCTGGTCTGTTCTTTTGCTCCTTGGTCCCGTGGCGCTGAGGTCCGCGCCGGGGCACGTCCACATGCACTGCTCCGGAGTCGTGCCCCGGGGCACCGAGGAGCGGTGGACGTGGATGTTCTTCCGCCCTCCGGGGCGGGCACTCCTTCCCTCCCCGAGGCCCCCAGGCACGACCTCGAAGCGGCGGATGTGGGTGTGCCTTTGCGGTGAGTCAGGGTGGCCAGCCGTTGCGGCATGTTCACAGGGCGGCGACCCCAGCGTGGGCGTTCGAGGGGGAAGGCCGCCTCCTCCTCCTCCCCCTCCTCCTCCTCCTCCTCCTCCTCCTCCTCCTCCTACCCCTCCTCCTGCTCCTCCTCCTCTTGCCCCTCCTCCTCCTCCTCCTCCTCGCCCGGGTGGTCACGCGCGCTCGGTTCACAGTGGTCCCGCGTCTGAGAGCCCGGCCGCGTGCGCGCGCTCGCCTCCGACGGATGGACTTGCCCCGCCTCGTCGCTGCGCACGAGGCCGCGGCCGCCAATAAAGTAGCATGCGTTGTGTGTGCTGTGTGTTTGTTCATGTTGTGTGTTGTTTGTTGTGTTTTTTGTGTCTTTGTGTGTGTGTGTGTTTGTGTGTACTGTGTGTGGTGTGTGTGTGTGTGTGTTGTGTTTGTGTGTCAGAGTGTCAGAAACCCATGCCGGCGTCATCGCGGCGCGAGCCTGCCGTGGGGTGGCCAAACGACCTCGGGCCGAGGCACCCTCAGCGCGGCCTCGGTGCGGGAGGTGCTCGTCTCGAGCGGCATGTCCCCTCGCGGGAGGCGCCTCGTGGCATGTCCCCTCGTCTCGAGCGGCATGTCCCCCTCTCCACCCCTCGGACATCCCCCTCCCCCTGCCCCACTGCCACTGGCCAGCCCCCGTCTCCTCTCTCGAGGTCCGACGGGGGGGGGGTCATTTGGGGCCTCCGGGAGGCCCCCAGGGACCTGATCATCCTTCAGGAGGGAGAGAACACACAGACACAATTAGCCGTCGACTCCCAGGAAGATATGGGAAAATATGGGAAGTGGGGGGGGAGACAACAGCCCAGAAAATGTTGTAAAAATATGGGGGATCCTTGTATTTGTGTGTATTTATTTGCGTGTCCCAGGGCCCTTTCAATCCTTTCTCCGCGGCTGTTGATCGGACGAGGCGAAGTGGAGGGGCGGGGCTGAACTGGCCGCTGCCACGAGGGCCTCCTGCCATCTGCGCGCGGCACGGATCCTCCACGCGCTGGACCGGGACCAGAGCGGCTCCGTCTCTTGTCGGGCCGGACGAAACGGGGGGATAGGGAAAGGGTGGGTTACGAAATCTGCTGCATGCAGCTGGTTTCGGCCCCACCGAGGGGCGCATTCCTCGATACGTAGCCGCCTCTGGCGCCAGGAGGCGCCGGGAAAATCAGCTACGCGAGCTGATTCTCAAATCCCCCCTTTGCTATCCCCCCCTTTCGCCCGACCCGATCTTGGACAGAGTTCATCGCCGCGGCTCTCTGTATCTCTGTGTGCAACAACCGGTCCCTCGTGGCTGCCGCCTTCGAGCACATCCCGAGACGATGCGGCGCGTCCTCGGAGCGGGAGGTGCCCGATCTGGTCGACGTGTTTGCCAGGGGGCCGCACAAGGCCCTGTGGGAGCAGCACCTGCTGGCGGAGTGCGAGAGTATCAATCCAGGCAGGCATGGTACTTTCACGCAAAGTGGGTTCGTCCAGTACATGAGCCGCCACATGAGTGCGATCGCAGGCGATGCGGTTCAAGCGGTGAGTTAGCGATGCGGCACCCACGATTACACGCTGGTCGTTGAAAGTAGGTAGTTTTGGACTCCCAGATCCCAATCTACTTCAAGCGCCTTCCTACTTCAAGAATCGATATGCTTCTGCTGTGTTTTGTTGCTCTCTGGGAGGGCCTGAACCCAATCGACTTTATCCGCCTTCCTACTTTATATTTGTATCTACTACTTCTGGCCGGCGTGTACACCATGGCGTCCAAGCGCACCAGTGGGTTGTGACCGCCCAGGGCACGGCTCACAGCAAGTATGTCTGTGCTGCAGGGCAGGTCAGAAAGAGACCGCATGCGGCCGCCTCCGCAGAGCACCTCTATCCTCGCCCTCTGCTTCCTCCCCAACTTCCTCCCCAAGTTCCTCCACCTGTACAAGCCGGTCGTTGAAAGTAGGTATTTCTGGATGTGCAAATCCCAACCTACTTTTGGCGCCTTCCTACTTCAAGAGTCGAGCGGTGTTCCTTCTCTCCTCCTCTTCAGGAGGCGGGTGGAAGCCCAATCTGCTTCCAGCGCATTCCTACTTCATGCTTCAACCCACTTCTTCCGAGCGGCGTGCATGCCCGACTCTGGCGCCTTCTCTTCACTTCGCTCTGCTCCTCCAACCTCCAACCTCCTCCTCCTTCGTGTCCCGGCTGCATCCACCGCCTGCCCACGGCGCATGCTCACAGCACGCGCAGGCACAATGCACGTCTGGGCATCACCGCGGACGACGCGTGTGCACCGCACCGCGTTGTCGCCTCTCGAAGCGTCGTGGATCCTCGACCCACAGAACTCACACACACGAAGCAACTATGCACACTACCACGCTGTAGCGGGGCCTCAAGGAACCCCAAGGATGGCACGTTGCGCGGGCGCCGTTCCCGCAACATCACCCTCCCCCCTGATGCGAAAGAGCGTGTTCTACCGCTGCTGGCGGAAAACCGGGGGGGGTCACTACCGGTTCGAACCCCTCCCCCCCCCCCCCTCCGGACCGGAAAACCGGGGGGGGTCACTACCGGTTCGAACCCCTCCCCCCCCCCCCCAGCTCATCATGAAAAGGGGGGGGGTCACTACCGGTTCGAACCCCCCCCCCCTCGAAAACCGAGTGGGGGTGCGGACAGTGGTGGGGACGGTGTTGGTGGGGACAGTGGTGAGGGGACAGCGGGACAGTGGTGGGGACAGTGGGGGGACAGTGGGACAGTGGTGGGGACGGTAGTGGTGGGGACAGTGGTGGGGACAATGGTGGGAACAGGGGGGACAGTGGACAGTGGTGGGAACGGTGGTGGTGGGGACAGTGGTGTGGGGACAGTGGGAATGAGGTGGAAACACTGGGACAGTGGAGGGTACAATGGTGGTGGAGACACTGGTAAAGGCGGTGGCGAGGACGGCGGTGGGACAATGGGACAGAGGTACAGTGGGGACAGTGGTGGGGACAGTGGGGACAGTGGTGGAAACAGTGGGACAGCTCAGTGGGACAGCGGAGGAGTCAGTGGGACAGTGGGGACAATGGGGATAGGCAGTGGTTGGGTCCGTGGAGACAGTGGGGAGAGTGGAACCGTGGTGGGAACAGTTGTGGGAACAGTGGGGACAGTGCGACAGTGGTGGGGGCATTGGTGGGGACAATAGGGACGGTGGTGGAACCAGTGGGGACAGTGGTGGTGAGGACAGTGGTGCTGGGAACAACAGTGGGGGATGTGATGCGAGCGGTGGTAGGGACCGGGAGTCGTTTGCTGGCGGTGCGTGGGGGGGGGGGGGGTCGAACCGGTAGTGACCCCCCTCCGGTTTTCGAGGGGGGGGGGGGTTCCAACCGGTAGTGACCCCCCCCGGTTTTCCGGATCCGGAGGGGGGGGGGGGGGGGAGGGGTTCGAACCGGTAGACCCCCCCCCGGTTTTCGAGAGGGGGGGGAGGGGGGGGTTAGGGGAAAGGGTTTGCCGGGAGAGAGGGGGGGGGAGGGGAGGGGGGAGGGGGGGGGGGGGGGGAGGGTTTAGGGGGGGGGGGGGGGGGAGGGGGGGGGGGGGAGGGGGGGGGGGGGGGATTCCGGGGTTCCGGAGGAAAAGGTTGGCAATTTTTTTTCACAGTAGAGCGGCGGTGGATCACGCTCTCTCCCTGATGCCAAGCTGCCCCTCTGTAGGGGGCGGCGAGGGCGCGGAGGCGAGCGCGCCCTCGCGCTCCGCGCAGCGGCGCGAAGCGCGGCGCGCTGAGCACCAGACCACGGCCAGCGCGTCTCGAGAGCTCTGGCCCACACGCGCTGGCGCGCCCGGGCCTCTGCTGGATCCGCGTGCTCGCCCTTCCCGAGCCCGACCCCCCTGGGCCTCCCTCTCTCCGCCCTGCTTGCCCGTCCACCTCCCCCTCTCCTCCTTCCCCCCGCGCGCACCCCTCCTTTTCTGATCCCCCACGTCCTTCTCGCCGTCCCACCTCCTTTTCCAGGAAAGCCCCCGACAGGAGGAGACCAGGATATCGGAGGAGGCTAGCAGGAGGGAGGACAAGGACCAGGAGGCTATGGTGATGGTGGTGGTGGTGACGGTGATGAGTGTGATGGTGAATCTGGTGATGGTGATGGTGATGGTGATGGTGGCGCTGAGGATGACGATTATGGTATTGATGATGGTGATGCTGGTAGTGATGGTAATGATGATGTTGATGATGATACTGACGACGACGATAGCGATGACGATTACGATGATACTGCTGATGATGATGAGGATGATGATGATGCTGATGCTGCTGATCATGATTATGTTGATGGTGGTGATGGTGATGGTGATGATTGTGAAGGTGCTGGTGATGGTGATGATCATGACGATTACGGTGATGATGATGATGATGCCGATGGGGACGATTGTGGTGGTGACGACGATGTCGATGACGATGACGATGACAACGATTACGATGATGATGCTGATGATGATGATGGTGATATGATGATTATGATGATGGTGATGGCGACGGTCGTGGGTGGTCGCGGCGGTGGCGACGATGACAGTGATGATCATGGTGATGATGGTGATGTTGGTGATTATGATGATGCTGATGATGGTGTTCACAACGTCGATGGCGATGACGATGATAATGACGAGGACGATTTTGGTGGCCATGATGATGATGAGGAGGATGCTGATGCTTATACTGTAGTTTATGATGGTGGCGAAGATGTTTTTCATCATGGTAAGTCTGAGGATGGTACGATGAGTATAGTCATGTTCAAGATTATGTTCATGATCATGATGCTAATCATGATCATTGTGATGGTGACGGCAATGGTGATGGTAATGATGATGAGCAGGAGGATGAGGAGGAGGGTGATGATAATGCTCGCGGTGGTGATGGTGATGATGGTGATGATGGTGATGATGGTGATTGTGGTTTCAGTGGTGATGATGTTGCTGATGCTGATGCTGATCATGTTGATGATCATGATGGTCATGATGATGATGATGATCCTGATCATGCTTACAATGATGATGGTGATGGTAATGGTGAAAAGAGCTTGTGATGGTTGTGGTGATTGTGATGATGGTGTTGGCGGTGGTGTTGATGGTGATGGTGATGATGGTGAAGATGCTGATGGTGGTGATGCTGGTGATGATAATGCCGATGCGGACGATGGTGATGATATTGACGACGATCTCGATGACGATGACGATGACGACGACGATGACTATGACGAGGCTGCTGATGATTATTATGATGCTTGCGCTGATCATGATGATGGTGCTGGTGACGGTGATGACTATGTTGGCGATGGTGTTCATGATGTTGATGATGATTACGATGATGCTGCTGATGATGACAACGGTGATGATGCTGGTGATGATGCTGTTGATGTTGATGTCGGTGATGACGATGACGATGGCGATGACTATGCCGATGACGATGATGATGTTCATGATGATTACCATCATCATCATGATACTGATCATGCTGATGGTGTAGATGGTGATGGTGGTGATGGAGATGTTGATGGTGGTGATGGTGAAGATGCTTGTGATGGTGATGGCGATTGCGATGATGGTTGTGATGTTGATGCGGATGTTGGTGATGATGATGACGACGATGTTGATGCCGACGGCGATGACGGTCACGATGGTGTTGGTGCTGATGATGGTGATGACGACGATGGAAATGACGTTGATTATGATGATGTTGATGAATATGATCATGATGATCATGATCATGAGTGTGATGGCGATGATGATGATCATGCTGATGACGATGCTGCTGACAATGATGATCGTGAGTGATGATGAGGAGGAGAAGGAGGGTGATGATACTGCTGGTGGCGGTGATGGTGATGATGACGAGGAGGATGAGGATGAGGAGGTGATGATGTTGCTGGTGACGGTACGTAATGGTGAGGATGGTGATAATGGTTTTGGTTGTTGTGTTGGTGGTGATGGTCGTGATGATGATGTTGATGATCATGATAATGAGGATGATGATGACTATGATGATGATGCTGATCATGATCATGGTAACGGTGATGGTGATTGTGATGGTCGTGGTGATGGTAGTGGCGATGATGATGGTGATGATGGTGAAGATGCTGGTGATGGTGATGGTGATGGCGCTGATGGTGATGATGATTCCCGTGCGGATGATGATTATGTGGCGACGACGATGTCGATGACGATGGCGATGACGTTGACGGCGACGATGACGATTGCGATGATGATGTTGATCATGATGATGAGAGTAATGATGGCCATGTTGATGCTGACCATAATGATGGTGACGGTGATGGTGGTGGTGGTGGCGATGATGATGATGATGTTGTTGATGATGATGTCGATGATGATGTTGCTGACGTTGGCGGTAATGATGACGATGACGATGACGATGATGATGATGATGATGATGATGATGATGATGATGGCGATGTTGGTGATCATGATGCTAATGTGGATACAATCGGTGCCGACGGCGATGAGGGTAACCTATAAAAATGCTGATGATGGTAATGATAGTAAGGACAATTAAGATGAGGATAATAATGACAATGACGATGGCGATGGTACTGATGCTGGTGCTGATGCTGATGAACGTGATGTTCATGAGGTTGATGACGACGATGACGATGCTGGTGATGATGTCGATAGTGATGATGATGAGAATGGCGATGCTAGTGGTGATGAAGATGGAGGTGGTGGTGAGGTGAGGTGGGGTGAAGCGAGTCGAGGTGGGGTGAGGGGAGGTGAAGTGCTGTTATGTGATGCGACGTGGTGTGCTGTGAAGTGATGGTGGTGGAGTAGGAGAAGGAACATGCAAAACATTCAGGACGTTGCAGGAGGAGGAGGAGGATGAGAAGGAGGAGGAAGAGGATCAGCGGGAGACGACTAGAACTGGGGGGAGGTCAGCGGGAGACGACTAGAATTGGGGGGGCCAGGAGAAGGAGAAGGGTCAGAGCGAGGAGGTGAATACTGAGAGGGGAAAGAAGGGGATGAGGAGGACACCAGGAGGAGGGGGAGGAGGAGGAGGAGGAGGAGGAGGAGGAGGAAACCAGGAGGAACACTATGCAATGAGGAGAGAAGGAGGGCGAGGAGGAGGAGGAGGAGGTCGATGATGCAGGGACAAGGACGAGGATGAGGAGGAGGAGGAGGAGCAGGATGTAGGGAGGAGAAGGAGGAGGAGGCAGTGAACGACAGACCCCTGCGTGGGAGAGTCGTACTCGCCCCTGCGTCCTCTTTCTGGTCTCTCCCGCCGAGCCCCCCTCCCCTCCTCTCCAGGAGAATCGGGGTGACCGCGTGTTTGCTCCCCTCCGCAGGGGTCCTGCATGAGAGGGGTCCTGGAAGCTGTTCGCCGTTCTCGGGATCGTGGGGCCCCTGATGGGCCCTTAGACCGTCGAGAGCGGCTCGGGACGAAAAGCTTTCTCTCGGCGAAAGCCCTGGGGTCCGGGGCCCAGTTCCCTCAGAAGCCCCCCTCCCCCCATGCCAGGAGGCCCCCCCCCCGCCTGCAGTCCCCGGGGGAGGGAGATCCACCAGGGATGCCCCGCCGTGACGCCCCCCCCCCCCCCTCCTCCCTCGTGCCCTTCGTGAAGGCTGGACCTCTATGAGGCCTCCTCCTCCTCCTCCTCTCCTCCTCCTCCTCCTCCTCCTCCTCCTCCTCTCTCCTCCCTCCTCCTCCTCCTCCTCCTCCTCCTCCTCCTCCTCCTCCTCCTCCTCCTCCCCCTCCTCCTCCTCCTCCTCTCCTCCTCCTCCTCCTCCTCCTCCTCCTCCTCCTCCTCCTCCTCCTCCTCCTCCTCCTCCTCCTCCTCCTCTCCTCTCCTGGCCCCCAGGAGCCCACTCTCCTCGTGCCAGCAGGGGGCCCCCCTCGCCCGCCGGAATCCCCCAGGGCATGGAGGGCCGCCAGGGATGGCCAGAGGAGGGAGGAGGGAGGAGGAGGAGGAGGAGGAGGAGGAGGAGGGGAGGAGGAGGAGGAGGAGGGAGGAGGGAGGAGGAGGAGGAGGAGGAGGAGGAGGAGGAGGAGGAGGAGGAGGAGGAGGAGGAGGAGGAGGAGGAGGAGGAGGAGGAGGAGGGAGGAGGGAGGAGGAGGAGGAGGCCTCTTCCCCCCTGCTCCCTCCTCCCCTCGTGTCCTCCAGCGGCCGAGCCCCCACCTCGCGCGCCTCGTCTTGACGACGCCGTCGTCGCCAGGAGCGCACGGCACGCGCGCGCGCGCGCCAGGCGCCGCTGGCGCTCGACGACGTCGAGAGCTCCGTGGCGGACTTCGTGCCGAAGATCTCGGCGCTGCAGAACCAGGCCGCGCGCCCTCTCGCGGCCCTGGGGGGGCTCTTCGTGGCGAGGTCCCTTGCGATTCGAGGTTCGGGCCGTTTGCCGCCCTGCTGGGGCCTCCAGCAGGCCTGTTGTCGCCATGGCCGGGTCCGCGAGGAAATGTCGGTCCAGCAACACATCCCTGGAGAGCTCCGGGTGGCGCCTTGCGGCCAGGACCCGGCTTCGACCTGGGGAAGCCAATTCTCCGCCTCTGCTCCTCCTTGACCTCCTTCTTCATCACTCTTCTCCCGCCCCTTCTCCTGCATCCGTCCTGCTCTTGCTGCTCTTGCGTCTGCTCCTCCTCTGCATCCTCTTCTCTATCCTGCATCCTTCCTGTCCACATGCCTCCGCATCCGCCTGCATCCCCCAGAGTGATCCTCCTCGTCCTCCTCCTCCTCTGCCTCGTCCTCTTCCTCCTCCTCCTCATCTGAGCCCAGAACCCGAGCGAGCTCCCACCGCGCCTTTGGGTATCACGACACATGATGCCCACGGCGCAAGAGGGCGGCACGCGAGGGACAGGGCCGATTCGGGACAGCAGTTGCGTACCGAATCGCACAGTCTCCCCACGCCACACTCGTTGTTTTCGCAATGAAGTTGATATTTCACCATGTCCACTGGGCGGATGTCCCTTGACTGGAGGAGACAGTGATGCAGACGAAGAACACTGACATCGTACTGTGTATTGGCATTGGCAAATGGGCAGAAGGCGACGACGCGACGGCCACGCAGTGTCAACTACCAAGGCACACGTGTGTACAAATGGGGTGGAGGAAGTCAAGAACCACAAACAACTGGTGCGGCGTGGCGATCATGTACGGCAAGCGAATGACTGGCACGTTGCAGCAGGTCCCCCTGCCGCCAGCCAGCTTGGGCATCACAGGCCGCACTGGTATGGCGCGTGTTGCAGTTAAGGGAATATCATTGGCGGCTTGTTCCATACACGTACCGCCCAAGGGCATTGCCGCTCACACTTTGCGACAAGTGACCAATACTATCGAACGTTGGATATTGGAAACAATGGGCAAAGTTGGACATGTTTGTATTCCACTGGTGGTAGGTAGCTGATACTGTGGCTTTGATATACAAACAGACAAAAGTGACAATTTATTCGCCACGCACGACAGCGAAAAATTAGATACGGCGGAGGCAGCACGGGAATCGCAGGTACCAAAGATGGCCAGCGAGTTCGTGCAGGAAGCGACCTCTGCATGCACGACACACATTGGGAGACGGGCCCCACCTACTTCCAATGCCAACATAGCAGCAGGTTCGACCACATTAGGGGGGCCAGCCATAATGCGAGAAACGAAACGAAGACTCAATCCATTTCTTGGATTGGGCAAGACCTTGCAGCCCCAGTCGATTTCGACATACGGCCGCAGACGGCGTTCGTTGGAAAGTACTCCCCGCCGCCAGCGGCGACGCAATGATGGCAGCATACAGCACAAGTACAGCATTGGAGTTGGAGACGACGATCATGTCTGAGCATGAGTGGAGGTGAGCTGGGACGGGCACCGCCTGAACGCAGACAATACGAATCACATGATCGCACTTGCAGGCGCGCGAGCCTGCGAAGCGGCGCTGGAACGAGGACGCCAGGTTAAAGCGACGGGCGAAATGCTTCAGGAGGTTCGGGCCTTGCCCCCGACCATGGGCTTTGATGGAGTAATACGCACAGACCTCAGGGGCCGCGTCAGGTAGCACGCGCAGCATGGCGTTCAATAGGTCAGGCATGGCACCTTCGCCAAATTGCACCGCATGCTTCTCCTCTGCTTGGTGCACACAGCGATCACTGGCCTCGCCGCGCTTGCATTACCCCGGGAATTTACAGACGAGCCGGGCTCGGCGTTGGTTCGGCTGCCCAAGTGCCCCGTGAAAGACAGCGCGGCGAAAGGGAATGCTGACGGACGAACGAGGTTGCTCCCTTTACAGCGGCGCTCTTGAACGCTGGAACATCAGCCGCAATGCCATGAAGTTGGGGGCCCCGCGGCTCCGCTGGCGGCAGCGCGCCTTGAGCGAACCCGAGAATCGCCGCCGAGCGTTCGCAGCTATGTTCGGGGCAACAGAGCGCGGCGTGCATCTGGGCAAGCGCGGGCTCGACGCCGTGGGCGCGCCGACAGAGCGCGGCTCGCCTCGGGCAAGTCAGTGCCTGGGAGACGCGCGGGGCGCAGCGGACTTCGGGGGCCCCTTCGCGGGAGCATGGGCCGGGGGCGAAGAAGAGACATTTTGGGACAATGCGCGATGCAGCCCCTCCAGGACCCCGTCATCCGGATGAGTTTCTGCAAGGCCAAGGCGAGCCCCACGAGGCCCTGACTAGGCGCCAGCATGAATGAAAAGTGGCAGTGGGCACTGCAACAATTCGGGCCCCACGAGGTTTCGGAGGAGGGGCCATCGGGGCGGGCATTCTGGAGATGCATGGCGACGCAGACAGCCGCGGCAACATCGAAACCGAGTGCATATGCGCGCGCGAAAACGCAGACGGCACGACGCGCGCAACCGCGCACGACAACATGGAAGCGCCCGCGGCACGCGTCGCGCACGACCGCGCGATGAGGAACATCGGCTCGCTAATCGCGACCACTACCGAGTGCCCGTGGTGCCGCGCAGCCTTCGCCAGCCGCGAATCACGTCTATGTCGCGTTCGTGCAATTTCACAACGCAGCCCGCGCTGTTGCCCTGAACTCGCTGCGGCATTTGAATTTGGCCCGAAGTCCATATCGCGCACCACTGCGGCGCCTGAAGCCGCGGGGATACCGAACTACCTCGTTCTCTGGGTCGCGTGCGACAGCGCGCGCCTGGCCCCGACAAGCCCGACCAATCGCAGACAGAGGAAGTCGACGCGGCGGGCGCCCAGCGCAGCGAAAGGCGGGAGAGCGAGGACGGGGGCGGCGGAGGTGAACGCGCCACCCAAGCACGCAGGTGGCAGGGCGAAAAGGGCAGCGGCAAACCAGCTGGGTCCGCCAGCGAGGGGAACATGCCTCAACTACGCGCAGATCATACGGCAACTCTCGGGCAGCGTGTGGGACTGCTGCCTGGTAGAGGGCGATCGCCCACCGTCAAATGCAGGGTGGCAAGAAGGATAGGAGCACACAGACAAGGCGGATAAAGGCATGTCGAACATGGAATCACCCCACGCGCACATCGGAGCAACGTCCTTCGACGAGTGGGCAAACCTGATCACGGCGCCGCAGCTGTGCCAACATACCCTAGTGCACTTCTCCATGGTAATCGGTGCCATTCACCAGGACCTCTTCGGTGACATCCTACATGCTGCAAGGCGAAGAAAGCATGCGACGAACCAGGGGGGGGGCAACCACATGGAAAGTCCACGCCATGTTCAATGCGCTGGCGATGAGCCGATGGACGGGCGAGTACGAGGACAAGATCCATCAGAAGCGTGCGGAGCAGGGCAAGGACCGCATCGAACTGCAGCAGATCCAGATCTACCGCCTCCGCACGGCGACGCACGTGGCCATCGCGAACAGCGGTGGCCAGGCGATGGCGGGAGCGCCGCCGCCAACGGCCCTCGAGCGCGGTCTCCAGCACTATTTGCGCGACCGCATCGCGAACACGTGAGAGGCAGCAGGCAGAGCAATTGCAAGCAAGACGCAAGCAGCCATCGAGGCAAATAATCATCAAGTTGAACTACCTCAGCTCCGCAGGCTCGCTGCATAAGGCAGCGTCAGGGCGGCAGAGCTCCCCCAGAGACTTGGCAAGTGAGCTGCTGGTCGGTGATGGGGGAGTGGGGGGAGTGGGGCCCGTGGTGCTGCAGCTTGGCCAAGTCTCAGCAGTCGCTTCTTTTCTGCTGCTCGTGTTGACTGGAGGCGGCAAGTGAATAGTGCGCAGTCCATCGGGCTTGGACGGGCGCCTCACATGTGAGTGGACGAACTAGGGTAGCATGGAGCCCAACGTGCTGGGCAGTGAGGCAGGCTTGGGGGGGCGCGGTGGGGAGCATCGGTGGTGGGGGGGGTCTTCTTACGAAAGCAGTTGCGCTGTGGGACGATAGGCTCACGCCGAAGCGAGTATCGTACCCCTCCCGGGTGCGGCGGGGATTGGCCCAAGCGCCATGAACCACCGCCCTGGACAGAGTGTTTGTTGCTTGACGAGGGGTTTCTGCCCTGTGCCGACGTGGGGCCAAGGCCAATTCAGCCAACAAGACCCCGCAGGCCCCCGCAAGCGTCAGACCTGAAAAACAGCCAGCTACCAAAGAGTTTGTCAGATAGGCGAGCCACGAGCGATCGGTCTCCGAGAGCACACGCTGCCGGGGCAGCCGATTCCGTCTCCTCCTCTTCCTCCTCCTCCGCTTCCTCCTTTTTTCCTGTTCCCACCCAGCCCTGTCTTCCATTCAACGTTGTTGATCCTTCCTCTCTGTGTTTTCTGTCGCAAGCTTTTGGGCGCTAGAACACGTGGTGTTTGGGGCCCGCCTCAGTCCACGGCTGCTCCCTTCACGCCGTCTTGCTGAGCGCGGCAGCTGCACTAGAGGGGCACGGCCCAAGGAGCGTTAGGCCCCCGCTCCTCCTCTCGTGACCTCCCTTGGTATCGTTTCCCCTCACCCGTTTCACTTCTGAACGTCGGGACTCCAGAGCCCACCGTTCCCTTTTGAGTTACAAGGCCAGCGCCGCCGCCCCCAGACCTCTGACATCCTCCGACGCCGTGGCGCGCTGGCCCCTGGAACCCTCGACCCCGTCACTGGGACGGGGGACCCATCGATCGTCGCCTCATCGTTACTCGATGCCCTCGGAGTCCGAGGCGGGGCTCTGGAGTCCCAAGCCTTGTGGGGACGAGCCAACCGCCACGGCGTCCTGTTCGTGGTGCCGGACGTTTGCAATCCAGACATCTGGCAACAGGTCTGGTTGACCCAGAAGGTGGGTCTGGTCGACCCAGAAGGAGGAGGAGGAGGAGGAGGAGGAGGAGGAGGAGGAGGGAGGAGG